ACAGGTGGGGACTCAGACTGAGTATTACATTGAGTATAATTACAGATATCATGTATGTATATTCAGGTCCGCTTAGGGTGGTGGCCAGATCAGGTGTCGTAAGTTCATCATAAGTTCTAGTGGCGTAATCTGCCCACTAGAGTGTGCACATAGGCTCCGACGCAGTGTTTATAGCTGGCAGATACAGTTTCTGATCCAGTAGCAGATTATATACTGTTGATCAGCAGTTTCAGTTTCAGTGACAGTACCAGTTCCAGTTATATATACTATTGATCATGATATTGCAATTATTATTATTGTTTTACTTCAGCATGGGTTTCTGCGGAGCACAATGGTTTTTAGTGCTCACGCCCCGACTCCTTTTTCTTTTTCAGGTCACAGGGTTGGTCCAGAGGTGTGAGCTCAGCTGGTGGTCGTGGATTTGGCTAGACGCCATTTTGCAGACTTTTGTTGTATATATATATTTTGCCACGTTTTACTTCCGCTGACACTTTTTTTAGCTTTTCAGACTTGCATGTTGATTTTTAGATTTTGATCCGATTTACCAGTCAGATTTTGTACAGTATTACATGCTAGTTTGAATAAGTATAATTCGTTTTTCTTAATAATTTAACTCAGAAAAGATAACGGGTTTTTCGGAACAAAAAAGTTTTTAGTAGCATCCCGAATTAGGATTTCACAAACTAATAAGTATTTTTAGAAAAGATTTTGCGAAAATTTGACTCTGATTTTAATAAGATAGCAGGGTGTTACAATGGTATCAGAGCCAGTACCCGGACTGGTGTGCCAGCGAGGATGCTGGGCCCTCCAAGGGGGGTGGATCCAGATATCCCACATCGGTTGTGAAGGAGAACGAAGCATGCCTTATAAGTGGCTGTGGATACCTTCACTAGTGTGACGCGTTTTGGTGAGCTAGCTCCCAAAGGCAAAACCGTGAGGGTGAGCGAGCCCAAAGCGGACAATATCACACTGCGGGTTAAGATGCTGGGCTGTTACAATGGTATCAGAACACCAAGGAGAGCAAGACACCAATATTGTCGATAGACTGTGGCAATCGACAAGCATATGGTTTTTCCAAAGTTTTATTAGCAAATTTGTATGATGAATACAATCGAGTATTTTTGCATATGATCTTCGGGAGATCGAACATGTGTTGTATAGAAGTAATGGGAAGAATAGTGGTGATTGTAATGTTGTGATCGTGATTAACCTTGTATGCTTTTCCGTTTTATGGATTGGCCTTCTTCTTTCGGACTTGAGGGTCGGTATTTATACAAGGTTAAAGTGATTGCAATGCAAAGTGTAAGCTAGGGGCGTAGGGTGACATCGCATGTTTCAATGCATAAGTGGATGAGGCAGATGGGGCGTTGCTATCAGCTTTATTAGTGTATGACCAGAGATAGTAAGGGTGATCGTCAATCTTCCCTAGTAAGCTTCCTTGGGCGATCGGCAGGTCGATCGGGTGATCGACAATCCTAATGGCGTTTGGTTGGGCCGCCCGCAGAAAGATCTGTGTTTTTGGCCTTGTCTGACCTTTGAGCTAAAATGTATACGTGGGTCATGTCTTCTTCTTGATTGGATATTTTTTTTAGGTGTAACAAGTAGCATCATCGTCGA